TTTACAGTAAACACATTGAATCAAATGCTGCATCCCTGATTCTGTGTATTTTCCTGTCTTTTATTCTCATCTAAGGGTAGCAATGGTTTGTAATAATTTTCCAAGATTTTGTTAACATTAGATGTCTTGAAAAGGACTCAGTTAGACACGGATACATCAAATTCAGTTTGTTAGAAGTCAGCTTGTTGTGGATTATTATGCATTTGTTATTATGGCAGGTTTTTGTTGGACAAAGTCAGACTGGTTTAAGTGGACCTCAAGACAACAAAGCCCAGTTAGATCCCAAAGATGGTTTTTCGAGAGGCAACGGGACTTTCTTTATTTTTCCTTGAAGGCATTTCACATTTCATCCAAGCAGCTTCTTCAGGTCAGGTCAGGTTAGAACTGAAGAAGCTTCTTGGATAAGAAGCAAAACGTCTTGCAAGAAAAAACAAAGGAAGTCCAGTTGCCTCTCGAAAAAGCACCTTTGGTATAACCATGACTGAGAATCTCCATAGGAATTTAGACAAGCCTAACTATGATTGAATGAACCTCAAGACAATGCACTTCACGTAAAACAACCACACTGATTATATTGTAAGCTACTGTATTAGTGAAATGGGTGGCTGAGAAATTCAATAGATATGATAGACAAAGACAGACAGACGGGTGGATACAAACAGACAGACAGGATAACTAGAGAGACAGACAGACAGGTAAAATATAGACAGACGGATAGACAGATAAAATAGATACATAGATGAGATAGACAGACAGACAGAGGGATGATTGTTAATATATATTAATTAGAGATGGATGATAGATAATAGATGGATAGGCAGAAGATAGATGATATAGATACATGACAGAAGATCGATTAGAAATACAGACAGACAGATAGACAGACTCTTTATCCCTTTCCCCAAAGAGCCAGCTAGAAGCAGAGGGGTGATGTTAAGAAAACCCAGCATCCACATAGTGTGACCCAGGGCCACTATTTCTTTTGGAGAGGGGGGCTCCAATAAGCAAAGTCGAGGTGCCCCCAGCTTCCCTGACATGAGGATACAGTTTTCTGCAAGGTGCCTTCTGTTCTATGGCAGAGGGCGGTCCAGAGGAGGGGTGGATTTCAGGAACCCCCAGGACGTTCTCTGCTTTTGGGGAAGAGGACATGCTTCACAAGGAGGACTCCGTGAGGGGCTGTCGGTGCCCCTTCAGGAACGCGGTCATGCCAAAGCCCCAGAAGCCGGGCCGCCTTTCTAAACAATTCTCAAAAGCAGGCTAGCACTACTGGGAGACAATTTCCATGTTCGGATGCTTGCTGGAACTCTCCCTGCCACTGAACAGCGAGAACAGATAATAACCATTAGTAAATCAAACTCCTTGGCAATATCCAGCTGTGCCTTGTGCATTTACATACAGATAGAATGGGTATATGTTTTTAATATGTATGCGCTAACACACTTTCCCCACAGCTGAAGTGTGTCTTACGAAAGGAGGCGGTGGATGGGAACGGCATCACCACGAGATAATAAAGTGACCTAGATAAAGTATTAGCCAGCGATTGATCTCAAACGGGGAAGGCTGTCTCTATCTGACCTGGTTACTTACTATGCATAGATTCCATTAAATAGAGCTTAGGAACTGAAAGCTTCAGGAAAATGGTGCCACTGAGGCCAAAATCAACGGTGGCCAAAGCCAAGCGCATCGCCGCATGACCTGGCGCCCCACGTGCGTCCCTCTCGTACAGGGCTGCGTCCCTGTGACTAACCAACAGATAAACAGACATCTTTTTCCCACCTCTTCAAATCAACCACCCTTTGTAAGCAGGCAGGAATGGGCTCTCTCTTGGATCGATCATTACTTTATGGAGGATGTAAGCATTGCATGAACGTGGAATGGCACCGTAAGGTATTGCAAAGGAGGGATATAAGGGAGGACGCGACGCACCCCGATTCAAAGCTTGCTTCAGCTATTGCTGTGACGATGTCATCATGGAAACAACATTGGTAGGTACATGTCAGACGCAGCTCTCCAGTCAAAAGGGGGACAGAGCACCACTTGGAGTAGACCAATTAATGTTGAGTACCAAGGTTGCACTGTACTCACTTTGCTGCCATTATTAGATTGAATGATCTATAGCAGGAGTGTCAAACTCACGTTGTCATGGCGGCATCATGTGACATATCGGGACTCCCCCCCCCCTTGCTATACTAGGCATGGGCATGGCTAGCCTGTGACGCATCCAGCCTGCCGGTGGGGCATTTGACAGACCTATAGTATTCTTAAGTAACCATGCAGCCAGAAGAGCCTGTAGCTTTTTTCTCATTCTATGGCTAAGGAATGAGTTAGAGAGCTGGTTTGTCCAGGAATTTCCTCGATTTGCAACCATTTAATGGAGGTTCAAAGTTATGATGGCCTCAGAAAAAAGAGACTTTTGACCCATCCTCACATGCCTGTTACAGCAGCTCCATGCCCTTAGTGATCGAAATTCTGGTCCCAATTGTGATTGTTAAGTCAAGGGCTACCTGTAGTAGCTTAATTTTTGTCCCTTGCTCCAACTGGTCTATGCCCAACCATTTCTCTTTTGCTGTTCCCTTCTCTGTCCAAAAGATGGCCAATGCCTTATGTTGTCTTGCTAAAAGATTTTCAGAAATCCACTACCAGTAAAGAGAAATTGGTGCAGCTCAACTGTCTGGTTAACATGAAAATGCTCCTTGAGTCTCAGCAGACTGCTGGCTTCCTCACCGGAGGAGAACAAGAAGGACTAGAAGAACAACTGCTGCTGTGTAAGTGGCCATCTTTTCAGCTCCTTACTCCTTCCCTGATTAAAAAGAAAATCTGTCTGAAATCTTTCAAGATGAAGAATTGTGAAACTCTAGGTAAGAATTGCCACTGTCTGAGGAGATTTTGGCCATTAAAAAATATCCTTCCAATATAACTGGTGGGGCCTAAAATCACTGTTGTCAAGTGTCATGGCCATTCACCAGAATAGTGTAGCCAGCTGCTCCCCCCCCCCCCCCCCAATCTGCAATTCTGCAGCGTAAACAAAAACCAGAATCAAATCAGGATGAATCTGGAAAATCAATCTACCACCCTCAGTCTCCTAGACACCCTAGAAGGAAGCCAACGGCAGGTGTGGCCAAGCAAGATCGTAAGCGAAGAAGACCTCAAACGGGCAGACCTCCATGGGCAGGAGTTCTCATCAGTACCGAAGGGCCAACCTTGCTGGCTAAGCAGCTGTTTTAGAAGGCTGCTTTGAAAGGAGAAAAAAGCAACCTGAGAGAAAGTACTAAATCTTAAAAGAAACCCAACTCTCTTTTTTGAAGCTGTCATGCTTTTTTTTAATTATTAAAGGGGGAAAGATACTGCCTTATGAGTTGAACCGAGCACTTCAGGGCAGGTAGTTGGAAAGATATATAACTCTGCGTCTCTGTTCCTATCGGCACTCACCCCTTGGCCTCCGTCTTTATGGCTTTACACCCTGGAGTGGCGTTATAGCTTCTGAACACACACACAGATATATACTGAGCGTTGTGAAGTGCGATCTGCAGATGTTTTATTTATAAGTGCCGGGCCTATTGCATCACAGAAAGCATGCATTTACAAAGAGCTACGGATTTTATGAAACCCCATTCTGTTGGTTTAATAGTCAAGCCACCCAGGCATAGAATAATAACATTGTGTAAGGTAAATGCATCTCCATCTCTAGAACCTGTTCCAAGTTCTCTCAGATGTGACTAAGTGTAGGAACCTTCCAACCATCCAAAGTTAATAAAAAGGAGAAGAAGAAGAAGAAAGAGGCAAATTAAGGCAGCTTCAACCAACAGTACTCAGAAATAGAATGGGTCGTTTAGGGGAAAAAAACACCGTCCCATATCGTTTAGGTATATCGAGAGTTGTTTAAAGGCCCTTTCAACATCAAAAGAAATTACGGGCTTTCAAAAATAGATTCAAGGTCAAATATCTCACTAAGGTGAAGAAAGCAGCACCTACGATGCTGGGATCAGTTTAGTGTTCAACCACAGTTTCCTTCCCCAATTACTACTGTGCCCAGCACTAGATTCCACAGCGGTTCCACAAACACCCTTAGCAGTGTGTGCGGCACACAAGCACTGGTCCTGTTGTTTGAAGAAGACAAGCCCAAAGGGTGCAACACGAGTTGCGTGATTTTACGGATGGTGGCCATCATCCTTTAACTTTGATGGGAACTTGGCGCCTGCCTTCCTCTGTTTTCCCCGGATATATAAAAAGTACCCCAAATCTCTCACCCAAAAAATGATGAAATGGTAAGTGGATGTTGAGGTTTTTAGGAACTTAGTGCCTTTATTCCTTGTTTTTGCTTTTAATTGTATCCTTTTAAAAAAAGTTCTTTTTTCGTGAGCTGCCCAGAGTCCTTGGAAGTTGGGTCTTACAGAAATGTAATAACCATAAAAAAAGCAATAGATAAATATTCATTCTGAAGAAAGCAGGAAAAAAGAAACCTGTTCATCTTTCATGTTGTTACTAATAAAGAGAAACAAAGAAAACTTGAGGAAATTACGGTCTTTCTTTAGAAACCTTAGCAAGGTGAAATCTGGTTCTCCCACACACCCATTTCACAATAAAAATACTGCATAGAGTATTGGATATCACAAATGCTAATGTTCATACACACACACACACACACACACACAATCCAGAATCTGGATTAAAAAAAAAAACATAATTCAACAAATTAAGGAAGGACTCTGAATAATCTCCTTGACAGAAAGTCTATTTTGACCCAAAGGCCAGAAAGTTTCAAGAAGGTTTTGTTAATGCATGTCTGATCCCACCCTCAAATTTTACTAAAGACGATTAACAATGCTAATTAAATCATGAGAGCTCAATAGTGTCTGCTGGATGCCAGTGCTGGAAGCAGAGTTTAGATTTGATATTAGTTAACTTACGGGGAAAAGACAATAAACAAACTTGCATGTATCATAAATCAATATAACTTTTGAGGTTTATGTCTCAGAGGCTGGGGAGCCAGACCGACTCACCATTAATTCTTCAGGGGCTGGTCGTTCTTTCGGTTGCTTCCTCATACTGACAACACGGAGGGGAAAAAAAAAGAAGTTAGGAAATGTCCCAAGAACAGTGAAGATTTTAAAATATCTCATGATGCTTGAGCAACAGCCATAAACCAAACCGTATTAACCAAGGGAAAATGTTGAAAGATTGCTTTTAAAAGTGCCCCAAATGGTGTTTTTAAAGAAAATATAAATATATTTTATGCTTCAATGAGCTAAGAAGGAACAAGCCATCTTCTTTCTCAATTTGTTGTAACACATTTTAGATGCTGATTTAGAACATGTCAGGGACTTAAGAAAAAGCAGGCCTGGGCCAAACCCTGACCATCCAAGATGACTTAACAGAAGCTCATAAAAACAATCCCTCCCAAGAGTAGCCAAAAGGGAATTCTGTTCACTTCTGCAACTGAATTTACTCTTTCTTCTTTGATCCAGCTTGTCAGAGGCCTACAATCATTCAGCTTTTTCAACTGCAACTTTGTTGTTCTTGTGGGGTTTTCTTTCTTTCTTTTGCGAAATCCCCTTCAGCCTCCTTGGGAATCTCATCGCTTTCTAAAACAGGCCCTTATTCGTTTGAGCTTTCAAAAGATTTGCAGTGGTTAATTCAGCAATCCTACGACTGGCCTATTTCTCCCCATGCAGAGGACAAGAGAGAAAGAAGCTGGAAGGAACCTGTTTTTTGGGGGGGTTCCTACCTCTCAATTCCCAAAGCATGGCACTGTTTTTGAAAGGCAAATAAGGGTGAGGCTACTAGATGGGAATTATGTGGGGTCCCAAAGGTGCTTTTTCAAAAGGCAACTGGACTTTGTTTTTCCTTGAAGACGTTTTGCCTCTCATCCAAGAAGCTTCTTCAGTTCTTCAGCCAGAGGATCAAGGAAAAATAAAGACAGTCCAGTGGCCTCCTGAAAAAGCACCATTCTCATGGGCGACTGAGAATCTCCACAGAATTTCTCCCGCACAACCAGCCCGGCCGCACTCTGCCGTCGTCCCCATTCACTTCCTAATCCCGTTTGCAGCACCAGCTCCCTCGGTGCTCCCCTCGTCAGCAAAGCCAACTGCAGTCCGCATTCTTTGCAAGCTGTTCTAAGCCACCTTGGCAACATGCTTAATCTGACATTCCGAAGTAGCTGGGTCCTGTGGGAGAAGGAGGCTATTATGTGCTATCATTTATGCCTCCACCTGACATCTGTGGACGTATCTGCAGAGGTTAGCCCTCCTCCTGCCTCAATTAAAAAATATAAAAACAATATGCTTTCTGATTAATCTCTGGGTAGAAGTGGAAAGGTACAGCAAGATAGATCACCCACGGTTCCAGCTTTACAACAGAAATCTAATCTACTCCAAAGTGGATCGGCCTTATAATAAACATAAGCTTTGTATTTATTATTTCAATTAACAATAGTCACACTGTTAATTCCTTTTCTCTCTCTTTAAAAAAAATTCCTCCCTTTGGAGTATTCCAGAAGAGGCTTCCGTCATCAGCAGTTATTCCAATGTTGCTCCCACTTGGTTACCTCATTCGAAGTTAATTCTATTGACATCAGTCAAAAACTTTACTTGCAAAGGAAAGGAAAATTAGAACAAAGGAAAGTGTGTGTGTGATGTCATCCGTTTTGATTGTCAGCATCCATATTTTTCAACAGGGAAATTCCTACTAGTATTGCAAGTGGCTGGCCCAATTCTGTGTAGTGCTGAGAGTAATTTTCTTTTATTGCTTTCAGGCATAGCTTTGAATGCTTCTCTCTCTCATCCCTCCCAGAAAATAGAATAGATCTTCAGTTTTTTAAAGTGGTGCAACTTTACGGGTCTGACCGCTGTCTTTCTCCGTATAACGCAGGGCTGCTGTTATTACATTTTAGTAAGTGTAAGCCTTGGCGTGTGGAACATTTCGTTTTCCATTTCTCTACTAAATTATGCTATTTTGTTTGAGAAGATAGGTAATTCTAGCTCTCATCCACCATGTTTAGGCTGTAAGTTGCTTGTTCTTTTCACCTTCAACTATTTGTTTATAAGCTTTACACATAAAAGAGGCACTGAACATATCTTTGCTATGGTAAGTTAACCTTTTGGTGCTCAGAAGATTCTGATTTTAAATTACACCCGCTTCCTTTTAATGGTGCTTTTTAACTTAAGGAGCCTTCCTGGCTGACCGTTAGGCAGGCTGTCTGGAAGAAAGGAAACATACCCTACAGTGTGGCTTAAAAGATGCACCATCAGAACACTTCCCAAAGACAGACCCCATAAAATTACTTCCAAATGAAAAGCCCGCAAATTAATCGAGGCTGCAGTTTAGACCCCCTTCGAAAGCGGAGCTTATTCTTCTAAGCAAGAAGAGAAATGCTTGAATAATAGAGGGGTAAATATGGTTATCTATCATCTTCATCCAAGGGATTTTGAACACTGAAGAAACGCATGGCACCAGTTCTCCGAGAATGCAACCAGATTCCCAGTTGTTTATGGGTGGGGGCCAAAAAGTCCCTCTCCGAAGTACTTTTATGACCCTTTGTGTAAATAACGTTTACATAATTTAAACAGTTTGCTCAGCTTTGCTGGCCCAGCTGGCCCAGCCCTGCCAGGTCCCTGGAGCCCTGGAAGGATTCAGAGGAAGCCATAAGGTCCTGTGATACAGTGAGTTAATGGCATGTATCATTTACATCGAGGGCACGGCACATTTGCAAACGAAGCTTACCATTGAGTGATGAAGTGTACAAACGGCTCCGAGAACTCCCCAACCGGAAGGACAGGAGATTCCTACAAGCCCGTTTTGGCCACGGGTAGGGGGAGAGGGCGGGGGGCGGGGAAGGGAGGGAGGAAAGGAAAAGAAGGAGAGAAAGCGTGAGTCCAAATTGTCAAATTGCGCCGTCGTTCTCTGATGGCAAACAAATGAAGACGTTTAAAAAAAACCGAAATCAAATAAAAGGAAACCCTGCATTTAAAAGTAATGAGCGTTACGCAGTAGGGAAAACACACGTAGAAATCCAACCAAGAGGAAGTCGGAAACGGACAATGATAGCCACGGGGCAGGCAAGAAGGTAGCGAAAGTGTAAATGAGAAATTAATGATTATTTAAGTAACACCCAAATGGTCTTGTAATTAACAAAGAGCTGGGAAATTATTCTTGTGTTGACCTTCGCTTCCTCCATCATAGTTGCTATTTATTTACACTTAGCAATCCCAAATCTTGTTAGATTTAAGCAGAAGAAGCCAGGAGTGTATAAAGAACTAAGAGAGAGAGAGAGGGAGAGAGGGAGGGAGGGAGGGAGGGAGAGAGAGAGAGAGAGAGAGAGAGAGGGGGGGAGAGAGAGAGAGAGAGAGAGCAGAGCAAAATAACACAACCCCCAACAAAAAGAGAAGCNAAAATAAATAAAATAAATAAAATAAATAAAATAAATAAAATAAATAAAATAAATAAAATAAATAAAATAAATAAAATAAAAAATAAAATAAATAATCCAGGTATTTCAACTCCCCAGTTTCCAAGGACCGCCCCCCCCCCCGCAAGGAGGAGGAGGGCGAGGGAGTCCAGGGAGTATCCCATGCCCGGCTGCTGCACGTGCGCGCGGAAGGGTTGTGGGGAGGGGGGTCTCCGTTTTCGTTTGCGCCGCCTTTCGCCCCCCCACAACCTCCCCCCCTCACTCGGAGCCCAGGAGCGCGGGCGCGCCGTTCGGCTTGTCCAGGAGCCCCTACAGCGCGGTGGGGGGAGAGGAAAGAAGGGGGGTCACTTGCCCCTCCGGCCGTTGCTCGCCTTTGTTCTGCCCCTTCGCGGGCCTCCCGAGGGAGGGGCTTGGGCCGGGGGGCAGCGCGGGCGGGAGCGAGAGGCCAGGCTGGGCGAAGCAGCAGCAGCAGCAGCCCGGAGCGCACCACGCGAGGATGCTGCTGCCGCCGCCGCCCGGCAAGATGGCGCAAGGCGACCCCGGCCCTTTTTTGAGGAGGGGGCTCTAGCTCGGCCTTCGGGAGCCAAGCCCCGGACCCCCCCTCCCCTTCCCGGCCGGCTTCTCTCCCCCTCCCCATCCCTGCGCTCGCAGCCTCGGACGGGCGCTTTGTCCACAGCCTCGCCGGAGCCAGGCGCGCCCCACCCAGCCCCGCCGCCGCTCCTTCGGCCTCCGGGAGGTGCTGGGGTGGGGTGGGGGTGAACGGACCGCCGCCCTCCCCGCCCGGAGCCAATGGCTTCTCCGCGGCCGCCGGCTTGCTCGCTCGCCTTCCTGCTGCTGCTGCTGGCGCTGGGAGCAGGTAAGCGAGCGCCCCGGGGCGGAGGGTGGGAAGGGCGAGGCGCCCGGAGGGGGGGAGGTCAGGGGGCCGGTGGGAGTAAGGGCCCTCTTTCATCCGCCCGAGGCTTTCTTTGAAGTTGGGGATTTGGATCAGGGGAGGGTTTCTTTCTTTCTTTCCTTCCTTTCTTCTTTCTTTCTTTCTTTCTCGCTCTTTTCCTTCCTTCCTTCCTCTCTTACTCTCCCCTTTCACACCTTCCCTTGCTCCCTTCTCTTCTTTCCTCTCCTCTCTTCTTCCCTCCCCTCCACTTCTCTTCTTTCCTCTCCTCTCTTCTTCCCTCCCCTCCCTCCTCTCTCTCTCTCTC